ATGGGCTTGTGGGTCTGAGTTCAAGTCCTGGTTCAAGAAAAATTCACTATGTGAATTTGGCCAGGCCACGTGCACTTCCCGAGCCTCAAGTTTCCTTCTCTGCAAAGTAGGTACAACCAGTCATCCATTTGTTATGACAATAAAACAAGACAGAACAGTGTGATGAGAAAGAGCCAGACTCCCTGGATTCAAACCTTGGCTCTGCCCTGGGACACTGGGGAAAGGGCTAATTTCTCTGTGCCTCTGTTTCCTCATCTGTAAAATAGGGATAGTGAGCTCCTACCCCACGTGATGGCTGGGAGGATTACATGTAAAGCACTTGCCATATTACTCACCACTGCAGGCATTAGCTATTAGAGGTAGTCCCCAGTTTACAACAGGGTTCTGTTGTAAACTAAATCCATTGTAATTCTGATGTAAATCGAATGCCTCTTTTTTTGTTTTGTTTTCATTGTTATTGTCTTTTATTATCACTGTCTTTATAAATGCAATCTTTGTCTTTGAGGATTGGCAGAATGATAATGTCAGTACATTACATGCTGCAACATTCTAAGCAGTCCATATCACAAGCGATTGTCGAAACTCAAATACATAACAGTTGGGAACTACCAGTGGTATATTGTTGTTAAGTGCAGTTGAGTTGGTTCTGACTCATAGTGACCCTGTATAGGAGTAGTTGGTGGTTTGAACAGCTGACCTTGTGGTTCGTAGTCCAGTGCTTATCCTACAGCACCACATCAGGGCTCTACTGGTACTATACTTGTTAACTTGGCATACAGTGCCCACTACATGGTGTATGCATGACTAACTCAGTGGCTAGAAACTGGGCACTGATGTCAGACAGCTGTAGTTTGAGTCTCAGGAACATCACCCACGTAGCCGTGTGACTTTGTATACATTACACCACCTTTCTGTGCTTTGTCTTAGGAAATGGAGTCAAAATCACATTACCTACCTCGTCAAGTTCTGATGTTTAAAGGAGTATTACATTACTGATATGTTCTTGCTAAGTGTCAAGTCAGTTCTGACTCATAGCAACAATGTATAGTGTTTCCGAGGCTTTAAATCTTCCAGGGAACAGAAAGCCGTATCTTTCTCCCATGGAGCAAGTGGCAGACTCGAACCATAGACCTTGTGGTTCGCAGTTCAGTGCTTATCATATGAAACCAGCGTTTTCATATCCCTTATTGATATGAGTGGGGCTTCAAAAGGTTTGTTAAAAAATGTCATAATCTTTTAATTCCATCTTTTTTCCAACAACAGCTTTTTGAAGCCCTCACATTTAGCAATATGTTGTTGTCATAAGCGCTGTCTAGTCAGTTCCAACTCATAGTGACACTGAGGCTGATGAGTTTGAACCACCAACCTTGCAGTTAGCAGTCTAGTGCTTGTCCTACAACGCCACACCAGGACTCCTGTTTGTTGTTGTTAAGTGCCACTGAGTTGGTTGCGACCCATAGCAACCCCGTATAGGGTTTCTGAGGAGCAGCTGGCGAGTTTGAACCACTGACCTTGCAGTTCAAATGGCTTTGCAGTCTGGTGCAATAACCCACAGCGCCACACCAGGACTCCAGGACTCACATTTAGTAGTATAATTATCTAATTATCAATAGCATTATCAACATTCGAATGGATAAAGGATAAGGAAGTGAATTATTTGTTAAGCACTTACTATATACCAGCATTCCACATAAAGCATCTTACAAGTATATTTTAGGATAAGTATTCTACCTTTCTGGAGGAGGGAAGTGGGCTCCAAATGTGGCCGTCAGCTGCCCATAAGCCCACAGGTGGTGAGGGGTGAGCAGCTCAGCTGGGCAATGATTAGGGCAGGAAAGGAAGAACTGGCGCTTAGTGAGAGCTTGCTAATGCACTAAGGATAGGACTTGCATCTTTCTTACATCCTTTAACCCCATAGCAACCCTACCCAAAACCAAAAAACACCAAACCCACTTCCACTGAGTCAACTCCAACTCACAGTGAGCCTGTATAGGGTTTCAGAGGCTGTAAATGTTTACAAGAGCAGACAGCCACATCGTTCTCCCACACAGTGGCTGCTGGGTTTGGACGGCCAAGTCCAACTCTTCAACCACTACCCAACCAGCAACCTTCACTGAGTGTATTCTTACCTCATTATACCGCATATCTCTGAGGGCCTGAGCCTCAGAGAGGAAAGTTGTTCCAATCCTCACAGCTCCTGGTGTGGCACTGGAGGATCAGCACTTCAAACGCACCAACTGTTCTCAGAAACCCACACCAACAGTTCGCTATGAGCCGGAACTGACTCAGTAGCACACAACAAGAACTAAGTGGTGAAGCCAGATTCAAACTCAATTATCTGCCTAAATGCTACTTAAGCAGGCATTTCAGTCACAGCCACAGTCCCACTGAGCCAGGGGACATAGAAACCTTTGTCTATAGCTATAAAACCATGTGGGAAGACTGACCCAGGTGAACTGTGCCAAGCCCTGGGGCCACACTGGATCCTCTTCTGGCTCCTGGGAACAGACTGCCACCCCATCCAAGGGGACCCTGGAACACATTCATAGAGACAAGGACGCTCAACACCCAAAGGGATCATGTTACCCAGAAATCTTTATTACAAAAATATTTTGCAAGCCAAAAAGTTTAAGTTGCAACTATATACAAAATGGGGCCTGTTTCCTTCCCAGCAGTCTCAAAATAAACTCCCGAAACTACGATCCTTCCGCAGCCCTCTTTACCCTCATCCTTTTCTTGGAGATCCATACACAAGGTATGGGGAACCCCCTCTCCCACAGGCTACCAGGCTGAAAGAAGCTAAAGCTACACGTCTTCCTTGGCCTTAGCCCCTTGCTCCCCCTTCAAAAACTAAAATAAAGTCAAAGAAAAATGGCACCATGGAAACATTCTTTGTGTGCATGTGGGTTTATGGACATGTGGACATGTATGTGTAAAAAATGTGTGCGTGAATTTACCAGGGGGCTGCAAAAAGTTTGTGGGAAAATGCAAGATAATGGCATTTTCCCACGACCTTTCTGAAGCCTCTTGTACGTGTTTGCATATGAATATGTGTGTGTATGTGTGTGAGTGTGTGTGTATGTGTGTGCACACGCACATGTGTTCTCTCTGGGCATAAGAGAGGGAGACCAAGGCTTACAAGCCAACCCTTTGGAACTGGAGTGACAGGAGCCAGGTGCTGGGACACTGGGGCTCCCAGGTGCCATAGATGAGGTCTGGCCTATCAGGTCTGTCCACACGGCATGCTGGCTCAGTTAAGTCCTGGATGCCATCATGTAAAACACCAAGCCACCATCCTCCAGGGTGGGGTCAAATTCCACCTGTAGGACTTGCTGACAAGTCGGATCACTTAGCGTTCTTCTCTGACAACCCGTGTCAGGAATCCCTTGGGCATTGAACGCCTAGACCAATCAACGGGCTATGAAGGTTAGCATTTTAACTTGACTCCACTCGCTGATCAGTTACACTGTGAAGACCAAAAGAACAGAGCTTGCTTGCCCTCTGGGGCATCGGTTCCCCGAACTGGAAGGAGTCACTGTGTCTGTCAGGCCTCCTGAGATGGAGGGACAGAGGATAGAACAGCCCTGGCTTCACAGCTGCTCTGTTCCCCTGATGTTCTTGATTTATTCCAGCTTGATCCCGAGAGGCTTTGAGAGTAGAAATGGAAGATTCCTTCTTCAGGGATCTGCTCCAGACGGGAAGATTGCTAAAAGGGTGGGGAATCCAGCCAGGCTAGCTCCCCTACCCTGCAGATTCCTAAAGTGCTTGTGAGAGATGGTGAGGAGGGATGTCATCTTTCCCCTCCCCATTCTACAGATGAGCAGACTGAGGCATTAGGTCTTGACAAGATTGCACGGCCAACGATGAGGCCAGGAGAAGCACTGGCAAATTGGGACCACAGCGGGGTCGAGGAAGGCAGGAATCCCAGCTTCACTGAGAACATAGCCAATTCAGTCCCAGACAGGGGGCTCAGTGTCTCCACGGAGCAGCCACATGGGCCCTTCTTCCCTATCCTCAGGGTTCTAGGACTTGGTGGAATTCAGTTTCTGCTGCAAGAAAATCCTTTCAGGACACCAAACTGTTAAACCTTTAGACTTCACAAGACCCAACCATGTACTTCAACACATGACAAAGAGCCAAGAGAACGTCGTCATTGTTGTCTTAAGGAGAAAAACAAAACACCACAGATCAAAATTTCTAACACCTCAGTTTCAAGATTGCACGTTTCACATTTCTCAATAATTTACAGGCGTCCACAGCGAGATGTTGTGAATTAGTACGAGCTGAAGAAAGCAAGCTGGACTAGCAAGGAGAGGTGGGTCCACGTGGAGCATCACAGTTGGGATGACAGGTCCCCGAGGGGCACAAGGAAGAAGAGGAGGGGTTTCGTCCCATGGTCCTATGAGGGGTGTTCCCTCCTCCCCGAGGGCTTGTGGCTTGTCAGCCCAGGGATTGGAAAGGCCAGAAGAATTGGCAGCAACCTCATCAAGGATTCAGATGTGGGTCCCAGAGTTCTTGTCCAGCTTCTCCACGGATAGGGTCATTTGGACTAAAGGGAAACCCTTTTCCAAGAAGCCCATTGTGTAGTGGTGGTGGGGGAGGAGGTGGAATCTTCTCCCTCCTCATCCTGGCAGTTCAGACTGTGGAGAGTCAAGAAGGCAGTCAGGGGTCTCCAAGACCATGACCAAGACCCAGGCATTGATGGAACAGAGGCACAAGAGCTCATGGGCCCCTGGTCGCTGTGGCCAGTCGTCTGGTCAACTCCCTGGCTAGTACAGCAACATCAGCCTCCATGTGTGGGAACCCCAGGGCTGTGGTGGCTCTGGAAGTGCTGGAGAGCCAAGGGAAGTGGGGAGGCAAGAGCCACCTTTGCCCTTGGGTCCCTCCCAGGGCCTAGCTATCCCGGCCCTCCAGGGACTGGGCTGTTGTCCTCATCATGGCGGCTCCATGCAGGAGAGGAAAGCTCATGGGGAACGGCCCTGAGATGACCGAGATCCCATTCACTTCCTCTGGACCTGGACGCTGGCATACTCCGAGAAAGAGGGCTCGGGCTTGGGGGCGGCTGGCTTAGGGGCCCGGTTGAGGTGGACCATGTCCAGGTCAGCATAGGTGAGGGTGTCCTCTGGCCCAGGGGGCGGTGGGCCAGTCTGGATGCTTGCGTACTCTGTGTGGTTGTTGGGCTCGGCAGCCCGGCGCGCAGGCTTCTTCTCCTTGGGCAGGTTCAAGTCTGCGTAGGTGATGTCATTTGTGTCCTGGATCTAAAGAGACAGAGAGTGTCATTCTGGAGTCTCCAGTCAACCATCAACCAATCAAGTACGAGGTCCTGATGGTCCTCCTTTCTCTTGGCCTCTTTTGACTCAGCCCTATCCAGGTTACCCTTTACTGGTACCAACATAATCCCACTAACCTCCTCCTGGTCTACCTACCTCCAGACTTACCCTCTTCCCACCTACCTTTCTCCCCACCGCCTGTAAGAGCTTTCTAACCGCCATTATGGTTTTGCCACAGGTGAACTGAGTTCTCTCTGCCTTTCCCCACACTGGTCCATCTACCTGGAACATCCCTTCACCTCCTTCTCCGTGTAGCGAAGGCACACCACACATTTCAACTCAAGCATCACTTCTTGTAAGACCCTCCCCGACCTTACCTCCCCTGGCTAGGTCCAGGGCTCCTTCTCTCTGCTCCCTCAGTCCCTGTTTCTCCATTACAGCACCTGCCCAGGACTGTGAGGGTCTATTTGGGGGCCTGACTATATATGGATCCCCAGTGCATGGGGACATTCATTCATCTACTCATTTACTCAACACATATTCACTGGACATCTATTTTGGTGCAGAGACGTGGCTGCACAGGGAAGGTCTAATCCATGTTGGATGAGAGAATAACAATGTCAGCTAGTGGACTTTGGTGGCCTTACTCAGGGCGAAACTGGAGTCTGGGAGACAGAGAACAAGTGTTGTGTAAGAATGAGACCATCAGTTAGCAGGTGGGGTCAGATTTTTTTAGGTTTGAATCCTAGTTCTGCCCTCTCTAGCTGAGGGGCTTTGAAATTTCTCTGAGCGTCAGTTTTTCCCATCTATAAATTGGAGTCCCGGTGGGGCACTGCGGGATAATGCGCTGGCCTGCAAAGCCAGCTTGCATTGCAAGGTCAGCAGTTCAAACTCACCAGCTGCTCCTCAGAAACCCTCTCGATGGCACTTAACAACAACAACAACAAAGTGGTAATAATAACAGTCTCTATTATGAGGGTTGCTATGCAGACTGAAGGAGATTCTCCAGTTCCAGTTCTTAGAACAGAGCTATACTCCTGGTGCACAGTAAAGGCTCAGTAAACGCTATCCATCATCAATTCCTCATTATGCCCACAACTGCTGCCTTAACATGACACTTCATGAATTAAGAACTCTGAGGTACCTGGGCTGCCGGTGCGGAGTGAAGCTTCTAACAGCCACCAAAACTCACACATGGCACACAATACTCACCAAGGGCTGATAAACACCACAATCCTGCTGGGTAGAAATCATTAAATCACTGAGACCCAGGCAGGTAAAATAACTTGGTGAAAGTCACGCAGGTGGAAAAGAAGCAAGTCTGTTGGATTCTAACGCTGTGTCTTGTCACAGAGCCCCTCGGCTCCTGGCCTTGATTTCTCACGGGGAAGCCCAGCTGAAGCAGTGCACTCCTCTCAAGTCTGGCTTTGGGAACTGGAGATACGAGACCACAGCTCCAGAGAGCTGGGTTGAGACAGGCTTGCTCACTGCTCACTACTGTGGCCAAGCACATAGTAGGTGCTCAGTACATATTTGCTGAATGGGAATTTTAAACAGTTTCAGTGGCCAACTCTCACCAGATGGAAATCTGGAAGCACAATGACTGGGGAGGAACCATCCCTCCCTCAGCAATGGACATTGTTGTGTTTTTCTTAATTACGACCCACGCTCATGTCCAGGAGCCCAGCACTCAAGGCTGTTGTGAGAGTGGCGTGGGGTCAGGAGAGCAAGCCACGAAGTGTTCCAACCAGGGTTCTGGCTGACGAAGAGCACGTTTTTCACTAGCCTGACTCCCTCCCACAGATCACACCCAAAACAATGACAAGTGTCTGCTAGATGTCAAGGGCAGCTGGTGCTCTTTTTCTGGGTTCAGAGCAAGGCCTGTCTCATTACAAGATGCCAAGAAGCCCTCTGCCTCCAAGGGCTGACAGGGTCAGCTGATGAAAAGTGGGCCTAAGTTTCTCGGAAGCGGGCCAACCTTGTTGTCTGAGAAATCTCTTCAGCTGGATAGAGCATGTCCTTACATGAGATAAGTTAATGACACAGGCTCTTCCCATCAGCAAAGACCAGGGGGGCTCTGGCAGTGCTGAGCGGCACTAATTCTGAGGGGGTGGGCTGTAAGGAGGTGGTAGGGAGAGCTGGAAAGGGTGTTCCTGGTGGGGAGACTGGCCCAGGCAAATGCACTGAGGCAAGAAGGCACATTCAACACCAAAGGAAGAGCTGCAGCCCAGGGGCCCTCTGGAGATGTGTGTGGAGGCAGTCGGGGTAGAGTGGGCAGTCCGGAGTTAAGGAGACTCATGTGCTGATTGGAACAGAGAAAGGGAGTATATGAGCACAAGAGAGGGTAGGGGGAACCAGGAATGTAAGGATCCTCCCCACCCTGGGGAGGGAACACATCTTAATTTAGAACAGGATCTGCAGCTCCCGCTGCTGTGAGGAAATCATTCCATCAAGGCTCCCCAGAAATATGTCTCACCAAGGACTGTACCTGGGTTACTTCTCTGGCGTTCTTCTCGGGCTCATGTAACCTAAAAAGGAAAGAGAGGCACAGATAAAAATACCCTCCCTATCTTGAGTGTTCATACTGGTAAGAATAACATTTATGTTCCTCTTCCTTTATGGGTGGAGGACATGGACGAACAATTAAGACAAGAAGCACAGCCTCTTGCCAAATGTGTGTACCAAAGGGTCAATCTCAGTTTAAAAAAACGGTGGGGGGGAATTTTAAACAACACACTGTCATTTTTCTACCTGCCATTTTTGCTGAAAGGAGCTCTGGTAGCATAGTGATAACAAGTTCAAAATTACCAGACATTCCGTAGGAGAAAGATGAGGCTTTCTGCTCACGTACAGATTTACAGCCTCAGAAACCCTATACTGGGTTGCTATGAGTCGGAACCGACTCCACAGCACACCACCACCACCATATATGCTGAAAGTGAAGACAACTTGAAGCACTTACTGATGAAGATCAAGACTACAGTCTTCAGTATGGATTACAACTCTATGTAAAGAAAACAAAAATCCTCACAACTGGACTAATAAATAATGCTGTCATGATCTGTGGAGAACAGACTGAAGTTGTCAAGAACTTCATTTACTGGATCCACAATCAACGTTCATGGAAGTAGCAGTCAGGAAATCAAATGGCGTATTGCATTGGGCAAATCTATGGCACAAGACTTCTTTAGAGTGTAAAAATTTCAGTAAGGTGCGTCTGACCCAAGCCAAGGTATTTTCAGTCACCTCATTCGCATGTGCAAGCTGAACTATGAATAAGGATGACTGGAAAAGATGTAATGCCTTTGAATTAGGGTGCTGGTGAGGAGTGTTGACTACACCATGGGCTGCTAGAAGAACAAACAAATCTGTGTTGGAAGAACAGCCGGAAGGTTTGTTAGAAGCTAGGATGGTGAGACGTCGTCTCATTTACTTTGAATATGTTATCAGGAGGGACCATTCCCTGCTCTAGAAAAGGGCAATCACACTTGGTAAGTAGAGGTCAGTGAAAAACAGGAAGACCCTCACGAGATGGACGGACACAGTGGCTGAAATGGGCTCAGTCACAGCAATGGTTGTGAGGACAGCACAGGACCGGGCAGTGTTTTGTTTTGTTGTGCATAGGGTCACTATGAATCGGAATAGACTCATGACTGCACTTTTTTTCCTTTGACATTAAAAATATAGAAAAAGGCACAAAGGCATTTGTCAGTGGGGTGTTTACATCTTACAAATCTGTCAAGCGGGACTGGTTAAGGAAAGGAGGGTGGACTCACAGATACATATTTAAAAGGTTTCTAAGGAGACTTTTCATATGACAAATGATTATATTAAGTGGTAACTGACAAAACAACATCCTCTGTGGAAAAATCTCAATTATGAAAAATGTGTAGATAACACTGGAAGGAAACACAGGAAGATGCTAACAGGTTTTTAGGTCTTTAGGAGGTAATTTTTCTTCTTTCTTGTTTGCTAGATACTGAAAATGTTCTGTATCAATATTCTATAAGAAGAACGACACACCAAGATGTCTTGGTTAATAAAAGAGGCTTGTTCATGCCCTTGATTCTGTAACTGGAGGCTGGGCTTGGCTCATCTGTGGGGTCAAGGTGATGAGTAAACTGGCTCCACTGGTTCTGCAGGCCTAGGATTCCCGTGCCAGCAACTCTGGGGATGTGAGCCTGGATAATGTCAGCATTGAGCAATAGGGCTTGGAGCAGGTTATTAATGGATCTGCATGAATGCTCATAGGAGAAGGCAGATCTGGGCCACAGAGACAGTAGACTAGGAGGGGCACACGTCTGGTAGGAGATCATGCAGATCTATCCACACCCTGACAACTTCAAACATTTCTGGGGTTCAAGCCCAACTCCTGACCCTGCTCCTAAGCCCCCTATGGTGTGGCCCCTGCTTACTCCCTTGGGCTCATTCACTCCCCCACTTATCCCAACCACTGAATATTTAATGAGGCCTATGCATTGTATGCTTTAATAGCAACCTAAGTTGACCTCCTTGACTATGTTTTCCTCTTGATTAATTCCTATTTATCCTTTAAGACTCAACCATGACATCGCCTACTTCTCTGGTAGCACAGGGCTGGCGGGGATGTCCCCCTCCTCCCATCTCTCCATCTATTTTTATATCTGGTTGATATGACTGCCTGCCTACCATGCTTCCTCACCAGGCTCTGAGGAGGTGACTGGGAGTACAAGTTAGTCCAAACGGCCCCACACCCTTTGCTCACTCAGTCCTCCCTGTCTCGTCACTGCTTCACATAAACTACGTATGAAAATATGTAAGGTTTGGAATTGCCACAGAGGATCAGCCTAATCAACCCAGCACTGCCTGAGAAATTTTCCCAAGGGGATGACAGGCTAGTGAAGACCACCATTGAAATTCCAGCACCTAGTGGACCCTCTGTAAATATTTGTTGAATGGATGAATGAATGAATGGATGGATATTTCTCCCATTGTATCATAGGGGCCATGAGAGACTAGGGCTAGTGTCTTCTTTGTTCCCCCTTCCAGTCCTCCAGCTCAAGGACTGGCACTGAGCTAGGCTAATCCAGATGAATAAATGAAAGAACCAGGGAAGCCCGAAATATTCCAAGAATAAGCACAGTGAATGTCTGACAAGCAAACGAATGGTCAACTGAATGAGCCCCAGTGCCCAATTAAGGGAGCAGAGACACATTTTTCTCTTGTCTGAGCCGCAGAAGATTACAGACAATGTTCTGCCTGTATGTTCCTAACCCAGGGAGTTAGCAATCGCCAGGCCCTCCTCCGGCAACCAGAACGGCCCTTTGAGCATTCCCCCACGGCACCCCCTGACAGGCTCCCCGCTGACAGGCTCGGCTGCTCCCAACGCCAGCGTCCTTTGGAAAGTGTCTGATCCCAACAGCAGGTCTCTGCAAGGGGACCCCCGTTCCGGCTCACTAGCTGCCGCTTTGGTTTATCGGGATGAAAGGGAGCACGTGCTCTCATAGCTCCCTTGGTAGGCTCATGTCGGAAAAATGAAAAAATAGGCTGAAAACGGCTGGCTTCTCTGGGGAAGATGAAACAGGCAGCAGGAGGTATTGGAGCCGTGATGGAAAGCACTCGCTTTCGTGTCAAAAGACTCATGTCTGAGTTTGGCGTTTCCAACACTTAGTCTCCGGGCCTCAGTTTCTTCAACTGTATAATGGGAATAGCTTCTGGGAGTCCCTATGTGGCACAAGTTGTTAAGTGCTGGATTACTAGCTGCAAGGTGGGCAGTCTGAACTGATCCCGAGGTGCCTCCGAAGATAAGCCTTATGATTGGTTTTGGAAAGACCACAGCCTTGAAAACTCTTGGCGAAGTTCTACTCTGCTCACATGGGCTTGCCATGAGTTGGAATTGACTAGAAGGAAACTACCACCACCTCCACCAAGCTTCTAGCCAAAGGGTTCTCAAAGTGTGGCCTGTGAGCAGCAGCACCATCACCTTACAAGAACCTGTTAGAAATACAAATTCTGAATCAGAAGCTCTGAGGTGGAGCCCAGTAATTGGTGTTTAACAAGGCCGTCAGGAGATTCTGTGGCACACAGCAAGTTTGAGAACCACTGCTCTACCAAGCAAGGATAATAATAAATCGTAGAATTTCTTGTGATAGTTCAGTTACAAATGGATTAATACACGTCAAGGCATAGATCAGTGCCTGGGACGTATTCCACGCTCAATAAATGTTAGCTGCTGTTATTGTTAGTCCTGACATTACCATTTCTTCTAATGAGACAAGTAAACAAACAACAACAAGGACAACAAATAGCAACGAAATAAAGCGAAAGAGACGTTCTCCTATTTTAGGGGCTATGAAGCCACCAGAGAATGAATAGATCAGGGAATGCTGCAGTGGTCTGGGAAGGCATCCATTTAGTCACCAAACATTTACTGAGCACTAGAATCGACTCTGGAGTGCAGGTGTGGCGCTGTGGGGTAAGCGCTGGACTGCTAACTGTAAGGTCAGCAGTTCAAACTCACCTTGGAAACCTTATACAGGGTTGGGTCGCTCTGAGTTGGAACTGACTTGATGGCACTTCACAACAATAACAGAACTGACACGATGGTTGTGAGTGTGGTTTGGTTTATCTCCCTTGAGGCTACACTGCCAGGGACAGGGAGATACACTATGGGCACAGGTGAGGGGCACCGTGAGGGAGCACCCTGGGGTACCAGTGCAGGGGCAGCTGGAGAGCTCTCCAGAGTGGCCCCCAACCCTGGAGAAGGGGACCCCACACTCGGCTGAGCAGGAGCAGGCAGTGCAGGGTGGGAGGAGGTGCGCCTACTTTATCTACCCTGCTACACACCCCCAGAGGGCTGCCTGGAGCTGTGGAGACCCTGGGTGGTGTGGGGCAGGATGGGGAGCACACCTCAGGGAGAGGCCAGTGTGGGGGGCGGAGAGGTGAGAGAGGCCCAGGGAGGGGAGTGCAGGGGCAGGGGGGGTTCAAGGGCTTGGGACTTTATCTTGAGGTGCTGAAGGTTTAGGTACAGGATGGATTGGGGGGGGGGGGGGGCTTGCCCTTGGAGAATGTGCACCAGCTCTGGGTGCCGCATTGGGCAAAGGCACATTTAGGAAAATGCACTTCCCAGAGGCATGGAGAGCCCATTTTACTGGGGGGCTTGTGCTGCCTGCCCAGGGTCAAGACTTGGACAGGAAGTCACTGAGGAGGAGAGAGCAGGAACCTAGACTTTGTCTGACACATTGGATGGTTTTGAGCATGAGCAACACCACACCCATTGTGAGTGCTCCCCTCCCCCAGAATACAGCCCCCCCAACTGCCAACAACCTGGGGGCTGTTCTTGACCCTCCACCTAACCCATTAGCAAGTCCTCTTGTTACCTTTAAAATACATCAGAATTTGACCACGTCTCACCCCACCCTGGCACCCCACCTACCCAGCCCCGGCCACCCTTCTCTCCTGCTTGGACCACAGCAGCTGCCTCTCACTAGTCTCTGCAAGCCCTCTGACTCAGACAAATCTGATTAAGGCCCTCCTGACGCTTCTGTTCCCACTCAAGTAAGCTCAGTCCCTCTAATGCCCACAGGCCATCTGTCCTGACCTACACAAAGCTGGAGAACATTGAGACCCAAACCAAACCACTGCCATCGAGTCAATTCTGACTTATAACGACTCTATAGGGTAGGGTAGAACTGTCCCATAGGGGTTTTGAGACTGGGAACCACTTAACCCACTGCACTACCGGAGCCCCAAACCTATTGGGCGGCAACCCTGAGCTGAATGGACTCCAAACGACTTCACTTTTATTTACTTCAAGTGTGGGTGGTTATACAGTTTCTGCATAGATGCATTAACATGTTAGATTATGCAGCCCTGAGATTGCTGGGGGGTGACCAGAGGCCTTCCCAATAGTGGGAAAAGTAGGAATTAGTAGCACATCTAACTGCAAGGGTTTTAGATAAGAGACTGGGTACCCACATATCCAGACCTCATGTCTTCCCCTCCCTCATGGACCTCCTTCCTGTTCCTAGTGTCCACCACCCACACCTACCCCAGGGCTTTTGCACAGCAAGCTCCTCCCCTTCAGAGCTCCCGAGCTTCAGATCCCTGTTCCCATCACTTCTTCAGATGCAGCATCATTCCCCTACCTAAGACTCTCCCCACCCTGTATTAATTTCCGCCCCCTTACTATGCTAGCTCCTTCCTTACAGCACTCACATCCCCTGATGTGACATCCCATAACGCTTTGCTTCTGTGCTTCTACCTGCTTCCCCTTCTAGTGTCTAACTGAGCCCCATGCAGGCCTTGCCTGCGTCTGTTCCCTGCTTAATCCCCGGTACCCAGGCAGAGCTGGCACATAATAGGAACTCAGCAAACAATGACCACAAACACGAATCGAAGAACTGATGCACATCTGCCCTGTCAGTCACCTGGACTCCCGAGTAACTGGGAGCTTCAGAAAAGCATGAATGCTGTCAGCCTTCCTCCCCACGGTATTCCCAGGGCCAGCCCAGGCCAGGTACTCAGTGAGGGTTTACGGAATCAAGAAAAGAGCAAAGGAGACAAGTTGTTCTAGGGACGATGAGTATGGGATGTGTGCGGGGTGTCTGGGAGTGCGGGAATATTGAGAGGTTTCCATCACAGTCCAGATTTGATCAGGATTTGATCAAGACTTTGTAAGGAATCGATCAGGACCTGGCTGTCCACAGGGACAGTAGACAAGAAAGAGCTCAATGCCTCAAATCAAAGCGATAATTCACAACAGTCCTGGTGTGAGGAGATTTAGACGACAAGGAATAAAACCGCTACATGGCACAATTGGGAGAGGTTGTCCTGTGGTCTATATTTTACAGTATTTGTGGTTGTCAACAGCCAGTTAATAACTGGAAAAGCATCGAAGTTCAATGGTTCACTTACCTAGTAGAAGAAGTAGAACCCTTGGCTGGAAGAGAAAAACAAAAGCCCGTTATTGAGCTTAAGAACACACCCCTCTTAACATCTCCCCTCCCCACCCAACAGGTTTGACTGCAGGGTTGTGAGGGGAAAACGGTTGAAATCATATCCTTGGAGCCATCTCGAGCCATCATGGTCTATCATCTCCCAGAGAGGAAGACCACAGTGGGAGATGTCTGGAAAGAGCCAGGTGCCCTACCTCTGTCTGGGCCTCACTTCCACCCAACCACAAACCTTAAGAGAAGCCCTAAAGCAAGACCAGACAAAGATAAGGAAGAAAGTCTTGCCGATACATTTCTGAAAAATCAGTCCATGAAAACCAAGTGGAGCACAGTGGTCTGATCCTGTTGTATGTGGGGTTACCATGAATTGGGGAACAATTGGGCAGTAACTAGCAACAGTAAACCCAGCTCCCATAGTCCCAGAGTTGGGAATTAGAGGCCCCAGGCTTGAACCGTAGTTCCACCACCAATTCGCTGTGTGATCTTGGGTGGGTCATTTCTTCTCCTTGCTGGGATTTCACCTCTGTAACTCGCAGGGTTGGGCTGGTATCCATTTATCTCCATGTCACCACTTAACGGGGAAAAAAGGATTTTGGAAAGGAAGAAATGGCCCGTCTGGTTCCAAGGTTTTAAACCTGTGATACGGGGCACCCCACAGAGAAGCCACTGGGTTTCAGCAGCCATTTGACTCCCATTTCACTGTCAAACTGTAATTAAAAAGCTCGGCACCACACGCTAATAAGCTGGAGACTGCCACAGTGCAGTGCAAAGATTCTCATTGCCAGGTTAAATCGTGGTGCCGGGCAGACTCTAAGGGGAGTGGGTTCCAGGTGGGAAGGCTGCAGTTCAGCATCTATGGAGGCGGTGTGAGGCAAAGCACTGGGACACAAGCTGTCTCCCGGGGAATCCAGGACCAGAACGCTGGTCACTCCCATTTTACCCTGAGGACACAGAGTGACTTGCCCAGGACACACAGCTGCTAAATGGTGTAAGTGAGTGATCACTGAACCCAGCAAGGAGAAAGAGTGCCTCACCGAGGGGAGGTGGTAGGCAGAGAGGTCCCACATGTGCTCTCTGGAGCCCCACCGCTTGTGATGCTTCAAGGAAATTTTATGAGTTTCCTACACCTGTTTCTTCACTATAAGGTGAGGTTAGTAATATCGCCTGAGACAGAGGTCTATATGAGGACTGAGTCACGACACATAAACCTCTTAGAACTGGAACTCGGCGTGACTGCCTTGTTTTTCCAGGTCTTGCAAGTTTTCCACCTTTGACCCAGTGCAATTTCATCACTTTCTATTTTTCTCTTTGTTGTTGTTGTTGTTAAGTGCCCACAAGTCCGTCCTGACTCACAGTGACCCTGTATAGGGTTTCCCAGGAGTAGCTGAGTGACAGCCAGTCCTTCCTGCCCCTGGGGCCTGTGTCTGAGAGCTGGGTTCTGCAAGCACACACCTGTCACTCAGAGACTGTGTCTGCAATCTCCCAGCCTCGGTTCCTCTGCCAGAACCTAGGCTGCTGATACTCAAATATCATGAGAACACAGATTCAAACGGGGGTGGGAGGGTGAAGACTCCATCAGATGGGCTGGCTTGTCACCCAGGTGGACAACAGCCCTGCTTTCCCACCCAAGGAGGAGCCCTTCCCTTGTGGGGGCTCTTCAGGAACTTTGGAGTAAGCACTGGATGGATGTATCTACTGCGGGGACACCGTGTGGCTTCTTGCCTTCAAGGTGGCACCTGACAGGGAACCCTTAAGATTAGGTCAGTGTCTAAGAGCAGAGTTCATCCGGCCATCCCAGAGGGAGGGACACTTGGGGGACAGAGCTGAAGAGGGTGACAACTTGCCTGCGCAGGAGCACAAGGTCAGCTCAGGAGAGCCTTTCACACTTTGCAGACAGTGGTCTCAATGGGTCACAACCCATGTTTAAAAAAGAAAATTGATTTTCAATGTTACACCTAGTTGTGTGTATGTGTATGTCTGATGAGATAGGAAGTGAATTTCTGGTGAGATAGGATGTGAATTTCTATCTCCTATAGTTAAAACAGTTTCAGGAAAACTCAGAACTGTTTCCTTTATGAACGAGAGAGCGAACACATGTTTATTGAGGTCCCAGTATGTAGGACACAGTGTATTTGGTACGAGACTTGCTCGTACACAGTGTATTTGGTTTTTATAACTATCCTCTGAGGTAGACACTGTTACACCCATCTTACAGATGAGGAAACTGAGGCCCAGAAGGACACACTGATTGTTCCAATCTTGGTTGTTCTGATTCTAAAGGCAGAGGCCTTTCCATATCAACAATCCCCTCCTACTCACCACTCCCAATACCCACGAAGAGACAAAAGGGGTTTCGAACCTGTGCTTTCCTGCTGCAGAGTCAAAGGCCACATGTATTGCTACTGTGAAGGGGACTTTTCAGGGTAGTGGCCCATAGTTTCTGGGTCCACATATGATCCTGAGTCAGAGCTAATGCTTAAGGAACACCTGTTATTTCCCACTAACCAGCCATTTAATCCTCCCAGCAGCCTGGGAAAGTTGCTCTGAAAGTGCCTGGGAAATCCTGCTTCCTCCCTGAGACAACTGGAGTCCCCTCTTAGTACTCTGGTCCTACAAAGACACAAGGGCACTTTGCAACCACAGGAGTTACTGACCTGAATTCAACCTGGTATATGATACACCATGCATGACAGAGCTCCCTCTGGGCTTCTAGTTCCTCGAAACAACTAAATGTTCCCATGGCTTAAGCTCCTTGTAGCCCAAAGCTCTTTAGTGGCCTTTCCCAGGGCAAAACTATGGACAGCTCAGGGAAAAACTATCAGTGAGCAGGCAGGGAATTCACGTACCTTTCTTCTGTTTGACTCGAAGGAGGAAGAGGGCAGCAATCAGCAGGGCCACCAGTAAGGCACACACCACGCCCACCGCAATAAAGATACTCTTATGCTGTTTGGATTCTAGGGAAGCACACAGAATACAGCTTTCATGTTCACAGAGTAACAACAGAGACAATGACAGCCCATCCTCCCCCAACCTTTGCCACGAAACAAGCATCATTGCTGGAGAACATCTGGTTGGGCATTCCCAGATGTTCCAAGCTGCCTGGGGACACTGGGGTTCTGCACAGGTTTCAGGAGGGAAAACATTGATTGCTGACAGCTACAGAGAAGTCACAGGATATGGACAGAAATCTCACCCCCGAGGGTCAGAAACATGTTCCTTCTCCTCTGGAGTAAACCACAGCACAGGTACCTTGGCAGCACAGATGTGGTATCAGGTATAGGGGAGGGAAGGGAGAGAGAAGAAGGATGGGTGCTGGGCCCTCTAGATTCTGTCCACTAGATTGGGTTCTGGAGCCAGGAGCCTGGAAATGGAAGACAGAGGGTTTGGCTCCTTGGCTGGTCCCAGGGTACATGTCGGGGATTCTAGATTAGTGTGTAGTGATTAGTCAGGAGTAGGGTGCTGAGTCACAGAAACGGCTCAAATCAGTGTCCACACTAGTTGAGTGGACGTCAACATCTTCTTGTCTTTGAAGCCAACAATAATCTCTTCTCTAAGAACTAAGCAATCAATAGACCCACCAGTTCTTTCATTCTTTCTAACAGTGTTTACTGAGTGTCTACTAAGTGCCAAAGCTACAGTGCTGAACAAGACAGTCACAGTCCCTAAGAGCTGAAACGTAGAGCTCCTCCAACACTCTGGAGAGAAAACGGAGGCCCAGAGAGGGGCACTGGCTTGCCCAAGGTCACACAGCACTCTGACACAGCCACAGTGGAATCCATTCATCCAGTTTCCCAGTGCAATGCTCATTTCATGAAAACCAGGCATCAAGAAAATCACAAGGCCACCTTGGTACGGCTCCAAGGCATTACAAACTTGGCTGCTAAACAAAAGCTTGAAAGGTCTAATATACCAGAGGACCCTATGGAGCACAGATCTACACAGAAGGTTGCCATGAGTTGGGGTCAACTTGATGGCAACTGGTTTGAACTGGTTTCCCTTAAAGAATCCATCAAGAAACAGTCTCAAAACCAATACATTCAAAGGTTCTTATATACAGCAAGCATTAGCCATGTTGGTGGCAGGAAATGGAACATTCCAGAGGGCACTGAACTCTGCCTAGGTGCTGCCATCTTGAAGAAGATGCGAAACACATTGATAAGAGGTTGGAAGTGAGAGGAAAAAAGAATTACCTTGATACACTCTCACATTTCCAGGGGAGGGAGTAAACAGTATAATTGTGAGAGTCAGGTTTTGTGTCAAGTCGACTTGGCCAAGATTCTCAGGGTTTGGCAGCTGAGCTGTAGCTATCCCTATAACGACATCTAATACAATATAATTAACTCTATGATGAGTTGTGCTATGAGCCGCCAATCAATCGAAAGGCTGTTTCCCTGGTAGTGTGGCATGCTTCCAATATCTTAGACACTCAGGCAAAGCATGCTGGCTCTCTGAGGGTCTGGATCTTGCATCTGGTTTGTCCTCCAACCTCTGGTTCTTTGGACTTGAGTCAGTAACCTGCTCTTGCCTGCCATCTGACCTGCCAAACTTGGTTCATCTGACCTGCACGTGGGACTCTCCCACCTCTACAACTATGTGAGCCAGCTCCTTGATATGAACCTCTCTTTATACATACACATATATGAGTTTACATATATGCATATAGAAGCTGCACTGGTTTTGTTTCTCTAGAGAACCCAGCCTCCGATAATAGCCCTTTTTAGAGGACAACATGGTAATGTTGTCATCATCTTAAATAAGTGTGCCCTTTGACCAGAAGTGCCCCTTTGGGAATTCACCTCACAGGAACAGTGCCACATGGGAGATCTATGTATAAGGATGATCTTTGCAGCATTAAATGCACCCCACTAGTGAACATCTGGATGAGTACCGGCACAGGCTTATAAGGCTGGTGGGTAGACAAGGCGGAAATTAGAAAGAATAGGGATGAGGGCTAGGGCCAACAGGGACCGTGGAAACTGTTAGGTGAGAAAGCCAGGGGCTGGATATTATGAACAGGATGATCCTTCTTCTTTCCTTCTCTGTCTTCCACCTTTCTTTAATATCTATTCATGTAAAAATATCTATGAAGATATAGATCAAACTCTTTCAGTAGTGGATGACTTTGGGCAGTGGGATTTTGGGAAAGAAAGCTCACATTAAACTTCTTCTTTATATTTGCAAGCCACAAGATTACTCTGACACGATCCCTGGTGGCACAGTGGTTAAGTGCTTGACTGCAAACCCAAAGGTCAGAGGTTCTAACCCACCAGCTGCTCCTAGGAAGAAAGATGTGGCAGCAGTCTGGAACTTTGGAAACCCTATGGAGTTTCACTCTGGCCTCCGGGGTTATTCTAAGTCAGAATTGGCCAGCTTGCAGTGGGTTCAGTTTTGGGTTGGATAAGAAAGAACTCTGGTAGCGTAGTGGTTACAAATCGGGCTGTGAACCACAAGGTCAGCAGTTCGAAACTACCAGCTTTTCCGCGGGAGAAAGATGAGGCTTTCTGCTCCCATAAAAATTTACAGCCTCGGAAACCCTATACAGGGTCACTATAAGTCGGAACCAACTCCACGGCACATAACAACACCACAATAAGCATGTGTGAAGGAGCCCTGGTGGTGAAAAAGATTAGCCTTGATTGTGAACTGAAAGTTCAGTTGTTCGAACCCACTCAGAGGCTCCACAGGAGAAACAAGGTATCTACTCCTATAAAGATTTCAACTTAGAAAACTCCATGGGGGCAGTTCTACTTTGTCACACAAAGTAACTATGAGTGGGAATCAGCTCAATGGCACCTAACAATAAGCATGAGTGACCAACATTAAAACAACACAGATACAATTAAAATACAATTTTAAAATGAGCCAGGTGTGGGTGGCGTGGAGGTCTCACCAGAGGCTGATTGTGTGCTCTGGTCCTCCTTCTTGGGGGCAATGACCTTCACGGTCAGATTATTGGTGACTGCTGGCTGCCCATCATGTACCACCTGGCAGGTGAGATTCACATCCTCCCTGTGGGCAGATGTGTTCACCAGGATCCAGCTCTTCAGGTTATAGGTCCCATCCTTGTCCTCGGTGAGAATCGAGGATGAATCTGTTCGGGACACATTGCCATGCTCCAACCAGGTCAGTTCTAGGCTCTTGGGGTAGAACTTCTTCACTTGGCAGGTGATGTTCACCTGGTTCCCTGGAATGGTCAGTTGGGTGGTCTCCAAGGTAGGTGGAACTGAAACAGCACAGAGCAGAAGCTCTGACCTTGTGGAACAGACAGATCACACAGAGAGGGGATGGATAAAGGGTGGCTTCCAGCATCACAACAAGGGAAGCACTGAGGGCAACATCAGGCATGCAGCAGGTGCTCAGGTAATACACAGCCTCTTTGCATCCTCAGTAAAATCACTAGGCACACAAGTAGGTGCTCATGCACTGATAGTTCCCATCATAGTAATGAATGAAATAAAAAATCACAATGCCTTACATGCAGTTGGAATGTAATTGTAGCAAAATAAAAGTCACCAAGCACCTAAGGGTTTGGCATGTATTTGGTACTTAATAACCACCATGGCTTATGGTAAAATAAATGCAACTACTTAGCGCTTGTGCTTGGCACATGGAAGATGTTCAACTGGAAGCCCCCACTAACATGGCAATAAATGAGTGTTTAGCAGCTTGACTGGCGCACTGTAGTTTATGGTAATTGGGAGGGATGATTAGGAGTTGGATTCCAGGCAGTACAAGCTCTGGAACAAACTAGGGGAAGCAGGCCTGGGGGCACGTAAGGGTCTGGGCTGGGTGTGAGTCACATCTACCTCGGATGGTCTCAGACAAGTTGGCTGTCCCACGAAGAGAGGCCTGTAAGGTAGTGTGGGCCACCTCACAGATGACCTGAGAGTAGACGTCCTCTCGGGTCAGCATCACCTGGGTCTTGCTGGAGACGTTGTAGGACACACTGTCCTTTAGTGGGACCACCTCGGTCTGGAGGGCTGGGAGCTCATTCCCATTTTTGAACCACTTCAGGGTGACATCTCTGGGGGAGAAGCCGTGGGACTCGCAGGTGAAGCTCACTGTCTGCCCAGGTGAGATCCTCGCCGAGGGGCCCAATACCACGGGGGCAGAGGGCTTGGCTACAAGAAGGAGCATTTGTAAGCAATAAACATGACTGCATCATCACCGTGACTGATAAGCGTGTGGCACTGTTCAGACTCCTCCTGTATCTTATTCTCTAACCCTGCTGGAAGGAGGGAGGAAGGGATCACTATCCTCATCTCAGAGCAGTTAACAGTGGCTCCAAAGGTGAAGGGGCCTGATCAAGGCAGCCAGTGAGTGGTGGACCCCACATGGAATTCTAGGTCTGAGTCCAAAGTCCACCTTCCTTTCTCTGCTCCCGGTGATTTTCTATCAACCTCTGAACAGTAACAACATTATTCATCCTACTATTAACTATTAATAGTGTTAACTCTAACTAGTTTGCCTCACTGGAAGTCTTCCTATTTCAGAAAAAGCATTTGTAGAAGTAAATGCAGGGAAAGAACTGTCTGAATGGGACCAGCATGAAAGCAGGATCCAGGCTGACCAGGCTGCTGGTAAGTGTGGCTGTCCCACATCTCAGCTTCCCCATCTGTAAAATGGGACCATAGCATCCTCCTCCCAGGGGTGCATGAGGATCCAATGAGGCAAACAGCAATTCTGCTCCAGACAGAACATAGAAGATGCTTAACAGAAATAAGCAAGCACAGAACTATCTTTTATCCAAATTTCATTTACACCCAGATCTCTTTCTCCTTCAGGTATTCATTAATTCATACTTTTTATTCATTCAGTATTCCAGTAGGGTCAAATCTGTGCCAAGCCTGGAAACTGAAAGTGAACGGGCAGGGGATTCTTTCTCTGAACCTGGAGGGTCTTCTTTTAGGTCAATTTTGGATGAAACATGGAGAAGACTAAATGCCCAAAGAAGACGATTCATTAATGATGAGAGATGCATACCCAAGGCAACTAAGCCCAGAAGCCTCTCTGGTGCCCTGAAAACAACCAGGAATCGGAGAGTCAGAGAGAAGGGCAGTGACCCCCACCCCGTGAGTGGGTTGTAGCAGTACCACTGGGATCACCAAATTGTTCATTGTTACCCAAATAACCATGTCACAAAATATCATCAATATTTTCATTTGTGAAACTATGACTTGCTTCCAAACACCCATGGACCATTCTAGGGCACAGTAAGGAGGGTGTTACTTGAGTAAATCAAGTCATGAGAACACCAACTACCTGAATATCCCTAGAAACATGACAAGAGGTGACCAGTGACCATTTATGAGAGCTCCTGGGTCCTGACGCTGGGCTGATCCCTCTAGCCTCTCAGCTCGTTCATCCTCCTAGCAGCCCCCATTAATGAGGCTCAGAGAGACAAGTTCTGGCCAAGGACACACAGTGGGTAATGGCAGCGCTAACCCCACACAAGAGCGGATCAATTTTAGCATCTTTGTGCTTTATCTTACTGAGTCTCAGCATTTCTGTAAAAAGTGGATGAAAATTCCAACCTGGTAAAATTAGAGATGCACATTGCAGAACCTGGCATGTAGTAGGTGTTCAATAAACAAAACTTATTATTGAGATCTTAAGATCTGATCATTATGACCTCTTAAGCAACGTATTAACCTTCAGGCAATAAGAAGGGAAAAACAAAAGCCCAGAAGACACATCAAAAAGAGTCCCAAATTCTGCTCTCTGCAGCTGCGTTCACATACACACAAACACAAGCACATCACACAAGCCAAATGAATAAAGCAGTAGAAACCACCAAATTATAATTCTCCCTCTTAAAAAAGAATCTCCTCGGGAAAGAAGTTTGGTGGATGAGTTTTCAAAACACAA